TTCTCCAATATCATCTTCAAGCTCTCTACAATAAGAGTGCTAACTTAAGCGTCAGAGAGTCCCCGCCGGGAAAATACCCCCGGGTCCTTTGATTCAGTTCTCGCAGGTCCCTCAGCTCCCGTCGCCTACAAAGAAGAGGAAAAGATGGAGTTCTCGCAAGTCCCTCAGCTCCCACTGCCTACAAAGGAGAGAAGATCACCTCATGCAGAGGGCAGTCGGGTTGCGCTGCACCAGGGAGCTCCACCATTCTCTGAGTCATAGGCCGCCTAGGACTAGGTAGCTCACCACCAGGGAGCTTGTCACCAGGGAGCTCGTCGCCACAAGCAGCTCGCCACTAGGCAACTCACCACCTCACCGGTAGCTCGCCACTAGGTAGCTCACCAGTAGGTAGTTCTCCACCAGGGAGCTCGTCACCAGGCAGTTCTCCACCAGGGAGCTCGTCAATAGGCAGTTCTCCACCAGGGAGCTCGCCACAGGTAGCTCACCACCAGGGAGTTCGTCACCAAGTAGCTCACCACCAGGCAGTTCACCACCAGGCACTTCACCACTAGGTCAAATGGCTAGGTACTTAGCCAAAAAAAAATAATACATCACAAAAAATTGGTACGTGACCAGAAACGATTACATCAGAAGCTATTATTCTTCTCACTCATGTGTTCGAGAGAGGAAGAAAGTATATATATATAAGGAGAGTTCAAATACAATTATGAGTTCACAAGATAAGCCATTAGTTATCCAAACTGTGATATACTCCTACTTAGATCCAGACTCCTTGAACGGCTCAATCCTTTCTTGCGTGGTTATGTGGAAACTATCACTTACAAGGTGTAGGTGTCACAACCGATGGCCGTGAATCTAATGCGGCTATTGGAAAATGAATAGGGCCGATATGCCAAATCCACGCAAATTGGAAACATGCTAGTGTTCTGACCATATTTGTCATAGCAGTTAAAACCTATGGTGGCATTAATGCGCATATGCCCTTCTGATGATATTTGTAAAACTCCCAAATTACCTTTGCCTAAACAATTTTGGAGGGTTGCAAGTGTAGTTGTAGGTTAGATCGTACCATTCTCTGTAATAGCTTCGGTGACCAAAGTCGAACGGATAGGAAACTGTGATGTTCCCACATTTATCCTTCTCTCGTTTATAAGGTGATGTCATCGTGGGGAGTCTGGATTCTACGAAGAACTCGTCGTTGCTTGCTTTATAATTTCTTTTGTGCCTTTCAAAATACTGACTTTTTCTAGTTGATTATGTCAATGAAAATAGCATCTAACATTAATTATTGTCCTAGCGCAACTGATTGGCAAATTCAATGGTTGATCACATGGAAGAAGCGTCTACGGTAAGTTCTTTCGTTATTAGTTATATTCTTTTTTTGGTCAAGGGGATCATAGAGTGAGCTGGTGAGGTATTTCATATTTTCTTGGGGCACCGCCTTTTTCCCTTCCCTCCTCGTTTTAGTTAGATGTGAACCTACCATCTAAAGGTAGAAGACAATGAATGGTGTTTTCATTAATACAGGATTTCAAATACTTCAACTGGTTTAGTTTCAATGTAGAAGGCACTGAACATTGTTTTTCTTTTGAAGGGTAGTTTTAACATTTTCAAAAATTTTAAGTTGCACATATCATCACGTAATCAGATAACTGACGGTCAGTTAACGATAGGGATCAACTTGACACTTTCTAAAAGTTTGTGTATTGTAGTGACACGTTTGAAAGTTCAGGTACTAACTTAACACTACCCCTAAAGTTCAGAGTATTAAAGTGGAATTTTCCCTATAAGAAAACCAATAAAATCTCGTATAAGTCATCGAGACTCTTTCTCTCAAAACTCTCCCAACCCTTATGGTATTAGAGCATTAAGCAACACTGCTCGATCCTCATGGCTTCCACTACACAGACCTCCACACAAAATTCTCAAAATACTGAGAATATTTCCTCATCTCTCGCAAATTTGAACTCAACTCCCCTTGTTATTTCAAACATTACCAGTCTGGTGCCGATCAAATTAGATGGCTTGTTATTCCAACCACCTATTATGGAAATCTTTGTTCTAACCCATCCTACGTGATCATCAATGGATATCGATCATTAATGGATCGTGCCCTGTTCCAGAGAAGATAGATCCAGCATTTGCATCATGGTATGAAAAATATCAAATGTTGTTGTCATGGATATAGGAAACATTATCTCCTTCATCACTTCCTTACATGGTGGGTGCCAAATCTTTGAAGCAGGCATGGGACATTCTCGATCATCAACCCCCATACATATTGCCACTCTTCGGCGACAACTACACAGACTCCGAAAGGGATCTCTCTCAATGAATGATTACCTACAGTGTGCTAAGATCATTTGTGATCAAGTTGCATCCTATGGTTCACCAGTATTAGATGATGAACTTCAAATTTACATCCTTGATGGGATACCCTCATCCTATAGAGCATTTACATCAACTATTCACAGTAGATCATGAGTAGATCCTTTGACCTTGGAAGAACTGCACGACTTGCTTATCTGCGAAGAGCTGTCTCAGTTGGAAGATTACCCAACTGACCCTACTTCAGCCCTCATTACTAGCCAGTCGAGGGTCCCCATCAATTTTCTCATGGGAATTTCACCAGCAAGTAATCATAAGGATGCAAATAGATCAAATTGGATTCGAATCAGGGTTATATCCAAATCCAATTTGATACTATGAATGACATATTCGATAAATCCAAAGATTCAATCGAATCTCACAAACATTAGTTTGACTTCAAATCCAATGAGGAAGTCGGATATCCGGATTTGGCCGATATGATTTAATTGTTTAAAAGAATTAATAAATTATTAAAAGAAAAATAAAATATAGCAATTTAAATAAAGAAAAACAAATGGAACAAGTATCTTTTCAACTAATTTCATCATCATCATATCTATACTACTTATAAAAGGGTGATGAGGAGGTATTGGCTTTTGGAATTTTTCTTTACTGGAATACCCCTCCTCTTGAATTTAGTTCATCAGCATTGAAAGGGTAGATAATATAATTAAAAGAATATTATTAAGTACATTCTATTACCTCTCATTAAGCATCACATTTAAGTCATTAAATAAATTACATTCTCTCTCATTGAATCCAACATTTATACTTTTGTTTATCATCATTCAATTCCACTAATAAATCCATACACAATAATTATTAATATAATTAAATTTTATATTTTTAAAATAAACATAGAAATTAAATATTTTTCATCTAGGTAGTGGGTAAGTAGTTCAACCATTTGGGTCAAATGGATAATTCCATGATATCATAAATAAATAATACAAATTTAGAAATATAAAAATAATTTTGTTTCATCATTAAATTCCACTAATAAATCCATACACAATAATTATTAATAGAATGAAATTTTATATTTTTAAAATAAACCTAGAAATGAAATCATATTTTCCATCTAGGTTGTGGGTAAGTACTTCAACCATTTAGATCAAATGGATAATTTCATGATGTCATAAATAAATAATACAAATTTAAAAATATAAAAAATATAGAAAAAAATAAAATTTGAAAAAAAAACTAGACACGTTTCTATTATTATATATTTGTCATATTAAAAAATAACTATGATAAAATAGACATAATTTTATTAATGATGGACATCAAATATACAACTTAAAACCGATGGGAAATTAAACCATCTTCCTATTTAGGGGTGGGTTAGTGATTCAACTTTTTGGGTCAAATAGGTTAACTAATGATGTATAATTAAAAGTAAATTTTTTTAAATAGAATAGTACAAAAAATATGAAACAATTTTGGACACATCTATAATATTATATACTAATAATATAAACAAAAATAAGTATGATAAGTAATAATTATTTTATCATGATCTAACATTCTGGGTCAAATGGGTTATATTTTAAGATGAAAAGAGGCATTCATGCTAGTGAAATGATTCTTATTATTTTACCACATTCGTTTGGAGAAAATGAAGGCATTTTTTGGTCAATTAGGGTGTAGGAGAAAAATGGTGATGAAAAGTGATAAGGGGAAATTTGGCCCTCTAGTGACATCACACCATGTGGCACTTCCAAACCGTTGTTTAACACCTCGACACCACATAAGGTAATAACCTGCTTTTGCTTAGAAGATAGAATCCACCTTGGAACTATCTTAGATGCACCTCGAACACATAGCGCACACTGTGGGAGTGAACCAATGCCACCTTTGCATAAGGGGCGACCTCTCGTTGAGGTCCCATTGACCTGGCTAAGGTCCAACTGGCAACCTACCTGACATGGTGATCGACCTCTTCTACGTGCGCCTTATCATCCCTGAATCCTTTTGGATCATGTCGCCTTACCACTAGAGCTGGCTTCCATATCGCCCGCTTCAGAGGTAATCGGATAAGCACTGTCGGATAAGCATGGCAGGCAAATAAACCACATCCTCTTGAAGATCTTGGACACGCTATATGAAGATCACGATTACCAGTGCCTATATAAAGGCGCCCCCATCAACCAGAGAAGGTACACGTAATTTAGTTGTCACATCTCTCACAACTCTCTTGCTTTATTGTATTCTAGCTCTCTCAATACAATCATCACTAATTTAAGCATTGGATTGTCCACCTTAGACAAAACACCCTGGGTATTTGACAGTTTTCTTGCAACTCGACCAACTGCCTAGTCAGCCCAACATCCAAGCTGTCCTCCAATAATGAGCATTACATTGCGCACCACCAAAAAGAAAATCTTGAAAGTTAAAGTACATATTTTGGTAATTCAACGCATTTGTCAAACGACTTAACGATAAAGGGGATATTTGTCACAAAGTAAAAGCTAAAAGGGATATCTATCTATCGCAAATGGTAGAAGGGGTCTTTCATTTGTTGCAAATGAAAGTTAAGGGGGCAATTGTCACTGATCCCATTGTAAAGGGGTCTTTGTAATTTACCCCAAAAAGGGGATTAGTTGTCTACTTGTCTTTAAAATTTGGCTCCAAAAAAACCCCGTCTACAAAACGTAAAACCCTAGTTTCTTTCTTCCACTATTCACTGCATCACGAGCACTCATGGCCAAGAAAAAAGCCGAATCAAACCCTAAAAGCAGTACCAGTGGTACGAAGAAGAAGAAGAAGAATTCATTGAAGAAACTACTCTCTGGTCCGAATGCCATGGCTATGAAATCGAAGCCTGCGAACGAAAACCCTTTTGAGACTATATGGTCTCGCCGGAAGTTCGATATACTCGGGAAGAAACGCAAGGGAGAGGAAAAACGCGTCGGATTGGCTCGCTCTCGCGCAATCGAAAAGGCAAGTTTGCCCGAATATCCATCATGCGAAACTTACATTCCGGAGATGCAGTACCTTTTTTTTTTCCACTTCTTTTGTTCTTGAATGTTGTTTTTGATTTATCTAAGTAACTCAAAATGATCTAATTTTCCTGTATAATTGGAAACAAGAAATTTATTAAACACAAAAAAGGAATGCTTTTTCTTAAACTTTCTATTAATCGGAGCTTAGCTTAAGCTGCCTCGTACAAGTTACTCGATTGGAAGCACTGAGAAATTTAACTAAAAAATTATGCTTGAACGGAAAACGACAAAAAGTTCTTATATTATTTGTGAATTGGAATTCATGTTGGAATCATGCGATACGGTTTTTGTGGAGTTTTTGATCCCTGCAATCCTCTTCCTGATGCAAATCTTATTTGAAACAGAGGAAGAAGACTTTATTGAAAGAATATGAGCAAAGTGGCAAGTCTTCTGTATTTCTGGACAAGCGTATTGGTGAACAAAACGATGCACTTGGAGAGTTTGATAAAGCCATCTTACGTTCTCAGCATGAACGGAAGGTAAACTTAGTTTAATTGATTCCATGAAGGTTCCTAGGCCATCACATAAGTTTGTTTGCTTGCATATTTAGTAACTTTTGCTTTCATGTATAAAACTTACAAGGCTATTTTTCTTTTTTTTTGATAAGTAACAAGAAAAAATTATTAAAAACAAAAAAACTGGAATAAAACTTACAAGGCTATGACTATCCCCCATCCTATCTGTCTCTGAAGATACTTATGCTTATCTTGATTATAGGATAAGATTAGTTCATGAAATTCAATTTTGTGCCATTAGCAGTCTACCACGCAGTCCAGCTACAAAGTGTTATATACAAGGTGGGGGCGTGGGGCCTATCTAAAGACATGCTGAAAGATAGGATTATCATGTGCCTCCCCGTGTCTATGGCATTCCCACCTTCTCTAATATTAATGTCAAAGCTTTAGTTCCAAATTCCCTACATGCATTTTTCTTTTCATGATAAGAAGCTGTTATTGACACTCTCTGCAATGCTTATGCTAGTTATTCTGATTCTCTGAAGCTGCCGTGTAGGATTCTTTCTACTTTGTTGAAAACCAGTGCACTTTGTTACATAGGTATCATAAAGTTCACTATGACAAGTTGTAACGACTTACATTTTCATGATCTGTTGCAGTTAAAATTGAGGAAGAGTAGCAAGTATAATTTATCTGATGGCGAAGAAGATGATTTTGCAGTCAATGGTGGTGGGTACTTTGGAAGGGATGATTTTGAGGATGAAATGTTGCCAGATGATGATAATGATGCACCTGAGACTCAAAGTATGTTTGCACTAGTTGTAGAGTTTTGAATTTATTGATAGGAATTGGGTTTGCTACTCAGATTGTTTAGTGACAAGCTAGGGGCCATTTGATAACAGTTGAGGTGGCTCAATTGAATGACTCATTTCTTTCTCATTCAGTGAAGTCATTAAGTAGGTCGTGAGCTCCTTAATGGCTGAATGGAATTTTGGGTTGGTTATTATATTGTTAGGTATTTATTATATGGCTATTTTATTCACTTAAGAGCAAAGAATTAATTGATTCAGTCCAGACACTCGTCACACTCCCACCATTGTTAAATGAACCCATGAGCTCAAATGGAGTTTCCATTATCCCTTTCCTCTCCATGATTCATGGAATAAGTTTCAGCCTGTAAGAACTTGCTATGTGATCAAAATAGATCTTCTTTTATGGGAAGTTTCTGTGTTAAAATGATTAAAAGCATGGCTGGCTTTAAATTGGACAAAACACCGTTACAAGATTGTGTATAAAGCTGATATTGACATGGTAATAAATGCATGGCCAATCCAGCGAGTCTCCTATCACTCCTATCAGATGATTGGTCTGGGTCAGGGACAATTCTCTCAACATGACAAAAATAGGTGGAACCTTGTAGGTAAGCTCCCTATTAGACCCGATTAGGAAATTCTTTTCCATGTGTATTCTTACTTAAATATAGTTATTAGTGATCAGATTGGATTGTTACTGCCTTGGAATTTAACTATGTCTTTGGTTATCAGGAATGAACAATAGTAAAAGTGATGTATTTTTTTTCTCTGGTAAAAATTTTAGTTAAAGCAAAGACAAAGCAATGCAAGGGAGGGCAAAAGCCATTTGAGATTTGAGTTTGAACCTGTGGGAAATCAAATTTTGGGAAGTAGTGATCTCCTTTTTCTCTCTCCTTTTTTATTCAACGTCTTCTATTGGTGCAACAAATTGGAGTTGTAATAGATATTTATGGAACTCCCTGTATGGGAAGATTTCATGGGAAAATTTTCCATATTTTGGCCCTTCCCCCTGAAGACCTCCTCTACCTTCTGGCCCTTCCCCTTGAAGTTGATGGTGAGGACTTAGGTTAATCTCCTTTTCTATGGAAGCTTAGGGATAGTTGTGTGAAGCTTGGGGGATGCTTGTTTCAGCAAAATATTCTTGGACTCAAGGTGAGCCTTTAATGGGCTTACAGGGCGTTGATTCTCCCAAAGCAAGGTTATGGGTGTGAATATTCTAAGAAGCTTACCTGTCTGTTTCTTTTTGAGGGAGATTTGGTCAAGACCTTTGGATGGAGCCAGAACTTCAATTCAGTTGCTGATTGCTCGGTCAGGGGGCAGAAGGCTTATATAGTGAAAACTCCTTACCTTTAATAATTTTAACATGGAAGGATGGCTGCCTTTGTTTTCTTTTTGTAAAATTTTTTACATCCCCATGTATACATTTTCTTCTACACTTAATCAATACAATAACATTTGACAGCTTTAGGTGCAGTGGTTAGTTTTCTTTATCATTCCAGATCCTATTTTTATGATCATCTTGGCCACTAACACTACTAAAGAGTTATGCTTAGATGAATGTTGGTCATGATGAAGCTGTGCCCTTTTGGTTATTCAACCTGCCATTCTTTTTTGTTGTCTCCATTTTTACCCACCATTAAAGGATGGTTATATGGCATTTGGAATATGTTAATGTTTCTGTTGAATGTGTACTAGATGATTCTTGTCTTTTTGAATCTGCAATGTGGTTATAAATTATATCTTTCTTCTTTATGCAGAGAATCCAGCCATTTTGAAACATCTTAATACTCCAAATATTCCTGATCAATTGGAAGCTGGTTCAACAGAAGGAGGTGAAAATGTAGGATACATTCTGGTACTTCTGAATTATGTTGAATGTACCATTATTGAGATAAAATTGTGTATCTTTTGTATTCTTGTATCACTAAATAGTGTGGATGTTTTCCTTCAAACTGTAGATGCATTAGTGGGGTAAACTGTTTCTTTTTAAGCTGGGTTACATTGAGTCAGTGTTATCATTTTGATTTTTTTTTTTTTACATCCATTCATCTCCATTAAATTTTCTCTTCTGATAAGATTGGTCATATTTCGTCTGTCCTTGCTTTATTTGTATGTGCCTTTGAAGTGGATTATATGCTCAGTTCTGTTTTTTTCTTTATTTAAGTAAAGTGCCAATTAAAAGTAAGAACCCACATTTTCACTCTTGTCATCCAAAATAGATGCATCCAACAATGGGTAATGATTCTTTACATCCATTAGTATTTATTGATGCAAACGACATGGTTATCTATTGATAAATCATGGATACCACTTGCAAAACCTGATCACACACAATGGCTTTCTCCTTGCAGAAGCACAAGAGCAAAAAAGAAGTGATGGAGGAGATTATTCTGAAGAGCAAATTTTTCAAGGTAGCTCATTTTTTTTTATATTATTGGCACTTGCATTGAATTGGAATCTTATTTGCTCATTTTTACTATTTTTTGTTTCCTAGGCTGAGAAGGCAAAGGAAAAGGAAAAAAATGTAGAGTTGATGGAGCGTTTGGACAAAGATTTCATGTCCTTAATGCAGTCTCAGGCATTCTTGTCAATGGATCTACCAAGCAAAAAGGACCCTTCGGAAGTGATTTTGAATAAGAGCAATTTAGATCCTGTCAGGAAGGAGATATCTGCTACTTCTAACAAAGTATTTCCAAATCAGGTATGCATTTAACCAACTGGAGGTGTGTATCTCATTTCTTTTGTTAAATATAGTTCAATGGGTCTGTGAACCATGGATTTTATTGCTAATCTTCTTTCTAAAAGTTAATTTGTTGGGGTTGTATTCCTATGTGTTTGAAACCATATGGCCCCATCCCACACATCATTAGAATGTTTGCTGAATGATTATTTGGTTTCTATATCTTTTCCTTGATATGCACTCATAATTTAGCAATGGATATGGCATTGAAAAGAATGGAATGAGAAAGCATGATTCATGTAGCTGTCCCCATATAGTTGGGACAGAGCTTAGATAGTGATGATGATCATCTTTTCCTTAATTTCATGATGACCTTTGTTCTAGATTTGGGCAATCTTTTTAATGATGAATTCACCCAAATAAGCAGCTAATTTGGTGGTTGATTCGTCTTAACTCTCAAGACTCTGGATTTCACCTTCTCTGATGAATATTAAGCTTTATATGTATCCATCTTGAGACATTGGTGCAACTGTGCAAGAACAAAGAGCTTGTTTTTATTTGAGAGATGAATCACCTCTGTGAACCCCTACCCAACCCTTCCCCAGTCTAACAACATTTAAAATTTTGAACAGTTCCAAGTGGGCAATGATGTAGGGGATMTTGCCCTGTTGTACTTTACTGATGACACCTTCTTGTTGTTGTGTTTTTTTATTYGAGGCCACAGGTGAGAACATTGAAAATTTGAATTCCCTATTGACCCTTCCCCAGTCTAACAACATTTAAAATTTTGAACAGTTCCAAGTGGGCAATGATGTAGGGGATMTTGCCCTGTTGTACTTTACTGATGACACCTTCTTGTTGTTGTGTTTTTTTATTYGAGGCCACAGGTGAGAACATTGAAAATTTGAATTCCCTATTGACCCTTCCCCAGTCTAACAACATTTAAAATTTTGAACAGTTCCAAGTGGGCAATGATGTAGGGGATCTTGCCCTGTTGTACTTTACTGATGACACCTTCTTGTTGTTGTGTTTTTTTATTTGAGGCCACAGGTGAGAACATTGAAAATTTGAATTCCCTATTGAGGTGGTTTGAGGGCTGTGGATCAACTTTCAGAAAAGTGAACTGATTGCTGTTGGGCAGGTTCCATATGTGGATGAATTTGGATGAAATTTTAGGGTGGTTCGGAAAAGGTGCCTACAAGGCACTTGGGGCTCAATGCAACTTTAGAAGCATTTGGGAAGACAAAGTATTTATCCAAAAGAGGTAAATTGGTTCTTCTCAAACCCTTGGAGGTGTGGTCTCCCCCAATCGGCAGTGGTTGAAATTGAACTTCTATGGTAGTAGTGTGGGCAATCCAGGTCCTTCAGGAATTGGAAGGGTGATAAGAGATGAGGGCGGTATTATACGTGCCTTGTACCCAGGCTCAATTGAGCAAGGTGGTTCTGTAAGAGCAGAATTATTAGCTGCAGTTTTTGTGGTAAAGATGTCTAAAGAACTGGGATTTTGAAGGTTGGCTTTTGAAGGTCATTCGGAGCTGGTAGTGCGGTGGTTAAAGAGTAGGGGGTGATTTGGCAACTTAAAAATGAATTCAGGCGCTTCAAATGTCTATCAAAAGACATGACCATTCAAACAAAGTGGGTTAGGAGATTTGCTAATAGTCGGGCAGATGGCTTAGCTGAACAAGGGGTTCGAAGACAACAAATGTACTGGACTCATTTGTATTACAGCTTATAATACAGATGGGTGGGTCCATCCTGTAATGGGTTTGACAGTTTTTTTTTTTTTTCCACAATATTTTCTTCTTAAAGGTAATGGACGAATGTGTTTCTGTGTTGCTGATAAAAAAAGGTTCTTCTGAAGAGCGTCTTAGCTGTACTACCCACCTATTACCTCTCCCTTCTCCCTATTCCATTGGAAGTTTCTGGTCAGTTGGAGAAGAAAATTAGAGAATTCTTGTTGAAAGGGTGGATTATAAGGTTAATGAACTTCAATATTGCACTGCTTGGCAAATGGTGTTGGTGCTTTGGTGAGGAGCCTGAGAGTGTATGGAGAAAGGTGATCAAGGACAAATTTGGCATAAGGGAGATGGAGCAGGAACCTGGGAACAACATTCAGATCTATGGGACTTCAATGTGGATGGATATTGAAAAGATCTATCCATCTTTCTCTAAAGGTGTTAATGTGTTAACTATAAAGTAGGTGAGGGAGACAGAATCGGGTTCGGATTGATAGATGGTGTGGGCAGTATACACTGACAGACATTTTTTCTTCCCTCTACCTATTAGCACAGTATAGGGAAGAGATGGTCAAAGATTGTTATTCAGAAGTGAATAGCTCGGTTACATGGAGTCCATTTTCAGGAGGAACTTAAATGATTCGGAGATGGAGCAAATGATGGTTCTGTTACAACCAATTCAGAGCATTATCCCTCAGATAGGTATCAGATTTGAGGGGATGGATGTGGGAGAAAAAAGTGTTTTTTTTTTCCTATAAAATTCCTTCTACAGGTACGTAAGGCAGGAGTATGGCTGTGAGTTTCCTGCTAGAAGGTTTTGGATTTCACGGCCCCCCTCAAAAATAAAATTTTTGGTATGGACTGTTGCTTTAAAAAAGTGTTTGATTCGCGATAAACTGTTGAGAAGGGGAATGGTGTTAGATCAGGTGGGCATACTGCTCTGAAAGTTTCGAATCTACAAATCATATTTTCTTGCATTGCCAGTTTGCAGCCAGAACCTGGTAGACTGTTCTAGAGACTTTTGAGTGGGTGAGATGCTTCCCACAGTCTATTCAATCCTTTCTTTAGAGTTGGTGACTAGAAGGTATCAAGAGAATGGGGCAAATCTTGTGGAATCTAATGCCAATGCAGTATTTTGGGGTATTTGGGGGGAGGAAAACAGCAGGGTTTTTGAGAACTCCATCAGTTCAATTGCTGATGTATTGGGAAGAATCAGAGGAAAGATGTGTTCTTGGTGCTCTGGGCATATATAGTCAATTTTTTAATAGAGACATACTTTTTATTGTTAATATCTTGCCAACAAAGCTGCATTTATTTTTGCATATTAATGCAATACTTTACCTTTTAAAAAAGCAGAGCTATTCCTTTCAAAGGGCAGGAAGTTCTTATAAGCAAGCCTCAAGGGCAAAAAGAAGAGTTACAAATAATATCTAGGAAGATACATAAGGCTGTCAATGGATTAGATCATGATCCAATCTAGTACTACTAGTCTACTAGGGCAGATTTGAATAGTATCATAGATTCGTTTACCGGTTCATGTCCAAACCATAAAGTATAGACTGAATAATAACTGAGTTTACTCCATGACACCCTGATTTCTGTGTCTTTATTTATAGAATGTGGATGGTGGGATATTTGATTGAATCCGGATCTTGTTTGGCAATTCCAATAATTGAAGGTCTGCAAGCTCACACTGGCAGTCGATTGTGCGAATCTGAATCTGCCTTGCTTATTCCCTGATTTTAAGTTCAATTCATGTGGCTTGAACTGAGTTGGAGACATCAAATGGAAAGCTTCTGGAGACCCATGTGAACAGATTGATGACTTAGTGTTTGATGGGTCTGTTGTTTACCTCTTATGAATAAATGTGTTTCTTTTCCATAATGCTCATTCAAGTGGCTTTGGCTTCTTATACTCTCCTTATATCCTTTTTTTAGTGATTGCAATGCTACCTCTATTCCTACAAGTGTTTATTGTTGACTTTCTTACCTTTATTGCCTTTTCTTAGTCTTCATTTATGTATGGCCATCTGGTTTCTTGGAGATTGTTATATATTGTGTTTTTGCTGAGTTAATTCTGTTCATTAAATTGATTTTTCCATTGTCTTTCTTACAGGTACAACCTGATGCCTATGACAAGTTTGTTAACCAGATGGTACTTGATATGCGTGCTCGCCCATCTGACAGAACAAAGACGGATGAAGAAATAGCACAAGAAGAGAAAGAACGACTGGAGAGATTAGAGGTTGGATTTCACTTTCTAGAAGCTTTCTTTTCTTAGTTTGTATCTCTGTATTTGCCTCTCTTTTTCTTTTAAAAAATTTCCTTTGTATTATCCTTTTTAATAAATTATTTCTCATCATTGATAAAAGGGAAATCACTAGTTCCATTTTTTTCCTCTTAATCTGTTTTGCATTTCCTTTCTTATTGTGTCTTTTTGACAAGTTCATTTCTTGATAAAGATAAAAATGAACATTCTTTATATTTGTTCAGGAGGAGCGCAAGAAAAGGATGCTTGCTACTGATGATTCTGATGATGAAGGCAGTGATGGCCATGAAGATACTGATAAAGAATATGACCATAAGTTACGCCCTATCTCTGGTGATGATCTAGGTGATTCCTTCTCTTTCCATGAAGAGCCAAAGAACAGAAGGGGCTGGGTTGATGAGGTTCTTGAGAGAAAAGATGTAGATGATTCTGCAAGTGAAGCATCTTCTGAGGATTCAGGAAGCGACGAAGATGATAGTGATGAAGAAGGAAGTGATAAAAATAATAGTGAATCTGGGAAGTCACATTCCTTGAAGGACTGGGAGCAGAGCGATGAGGACAACCTCAGTACAGATATTGAAGAAGAAGAAGAAGAAGAAGAAGAGGGGGAAGAGGATAAGGAGGGGAAAGGCTTGCATAAGGTGGACAACAATATGCAAGAAATCAAGAACAAGAAGGCAGATCCTTTAGATGCGGAGAAAACAAAGTCAAGTCAGAAACAACATCCAATTAAACAAGGGGAGCTTCACTATACAATTGAAGCTCCAACAAACTTGTCAGATTTATGCACCTTGCTGGATAATCGGTCTGATGCTGAAATAGTTGAGGCTATCAATCGGATCCGTATATATAATGCAATCAAACTTGCGGCAGAGAATCGGAAGAAAATGCAAGTATGACTCTGTTATCTATTTATTACTGATTTGCACATAGAATGTAAATTTGAAAAGAATGCATATGATACTTTCCATCAGTATTTAGAAGCTTGGAAACTGAAACAAAAAAGCCAGTGGTCTTTATTTAGGAGTTTTCCACCTAGTCTGTGTTACTGCTTTGTTAATTCAGTTGATACATCTGTTAGATTTAGCTGCATTGAGTAATTAGGTATATTGACGAATTTGGAGTTGAGAAACATACCTTGGCAATATTGCTGAAAGTATGCACTTTTGCAGGTCTTTTATGGCGTCTTGTTGCAATATTTTGCTGTCTTAGCAAATAAAAAGCCATTGAACTTTAAGCTATTGAATTTGTTGGTTATGCCATTGATAGAGATGAGTGCGGAGACCCCATACTTTGCAGCTATTTGTGCCCGTCAACGTATACTTCGCATTCGGACCCAATTCTGTGAGGATGTCAAGAGGCAAGGTATGGAATTTATTAAGTTCTAAAGTTCTTTTTACATTTATGTTTAGTTTTATGAGCTATGTCATGAAGGACATGACTCCCTATGAAACTTGTGTTGGACAAAAGTTGGAAGTATGGACATTTCTTTATTGCTTCAGATTGTGCATGAATCTGTCTTCTACAGTCTTATTTTGTAACTGTCTTTGTGCCGCTTTCAAATTATGTTGGCATATACACATAAAAACACATTACTGGCTGTGATTTTTTTGGGTGTTGCATTATGTTGCACCTAAATAATTATCAGAAGATGATAGTCTTGTCCATACCCATGGATTATGGGTTATATATCATTGCATGTTGCTTTTGTCTAAGGCTAGCCCATAATATACCTCTTTCTCTGATCTTTGCAGAGAAAAGTTGTTGGCCTTCTTTGAAGACTTTGTTACTTCTGAGGCTGTGGTCTATGATATTTCCTTGCTCTGACTTTCGACATGTAGTCATGACACCAGCTATCTTGTTGATGTGCGATTATCTGATGCGTTGTCCTATATTGTGTGGACGGGATATTGCAGTAGGATCTTTCTTATGTTCAATGGTTCTCTCTGTACGTACATTGCCAGAAATTATCATATATTTATTCTTCAGTTGAGAACCATCACAATGATTTTAGTGCAAGTGCCATCAAACTTCTATACATTCATCATTGCATGATGGTTGATTTTGTACTTAGTGTGATTGGTATTCATTAATTGAAGCAGAGCATAAGTGACTTGTTGTTTGATCTGATCTGCTTCTTTAGGTTGTTAAACAATCTCAGAAGTTCTGTCCAGAGGCCATAATATTTCTGAAAACTTTGCTTATGTCAGCTTCAGATGCAAAACTGGGGTCATGCCATCATTCCCAGGTACATCATCAACTTGTGTTGTTTGAGAATTTTTGTTTATCCTGCATATATTCCAACTGTCTTACATTCAATTGAAGAAATTAGTTGCTGCACTTGGGTTAGGTGTCTGTTGTTATGGCCCTATTCTGTGTTGTGTTGCAGGATGGTTTGATAGAAAGAAGCATTTGTAGCTTTCCTGGTTAATATTTTCTTGTAGAAGTTGTAAATTGCATTTCTGTTCATAACAACTACAATTATCCATTCCTTGCCTTACATAAGTCTCTCTCTGTATCTTCCCCACTCCCCCTTTCCCATTCTTCTTGAAGAGGTGAAGGAAAAAAGCAACACCATTTATTGCTTTATTTTGTTGGTTGACAGCTTTACTATCTTGTGGAACTAAAAATGTTGACACCATGGCTGCGATTACATGATCATGTTTCTGAGATTCATACTCTAGATTTCCTTGATGTGATGGACATGCCAGAGGATTCCTCCTTCTTTAGCTCTGATGATTTCCGGTTAGTTTTATTTTGGAAATTAGTTTTTTTTTTTTTTCCTGCTTATCTATAGCTATATAGATTGGAATGTAGCTTGGTCTTGCCACATACTATGTGCTTTGTTTACTATATCTATTCACCTTTTGGACTGACCAATAGATGAAACACTACTTGGATATGTCTTACCTTGCGGGTAGCTATAATGAGGTGAATAAGAATCTAGTCATGTTGACTTTTAAATTCTATGGTCCACAATAAGCTTTTGTTTAGATGATGTTTATTATCCACAAACTTCAATTTCCAGCCATGATCCATTGATTGGAAGATCATGACTGTTGTACTTGTAAACACATCGGTGCATATGGGTTAGGTGTGCCTACTAATGATGAGGTCACTTCCCTTAATATGTATTTTTCTATATGAATCTCCTTTGGACTGTTGTTGAATGGACATGCTTACTATCCTTTCAAACTGCAGGGTCGGTGTGCTTGTATCTGTGGTTGAAACACTACGAGGATTTGTTCATATATATGATGGACTTGCCTCCTTCCCTGAAATATTTATGCCCGTTTCCACTTTATTGTATGGAGTGGCAAAACAAGAGTTCTTGCCAGATGTTTTACAAGAAAATTTTGGCAATGTTGCTGAGTTGATAAAGAACAAAGCCAATGAACATCAAATGTTGCGTCAGCCACTTCAAATGCGGAAGCAAAAGCCAGTGCCAAACAAGCAATTAACACCAAAATTTGAGGAGAAGTATTTCTCTTTCTGAAGCTTTATTGTCCATGATCTAATTATATAACTCATTTATATAATTAATGTTTAAATCAGTAATTTGATCAAGAACTGTTGATGCAGTTTTGTGAAGGGTAGAGATTATGATCCGGACCGTGAAAGGGCGGAGAGAAAGAAGTTGAAGAAACTTCTCAAACGGGAAGCTAAAGGAGCAGCTCGAGAACTACGCAAAGATAATTATTTCTTATCTGAGGTAAAGGAGAAGGAGAGGGCAATACTGGAAGAGGAACGAGCTGAGAAATATGGGAAGGCATGGAATTTCCTACAAGAACAAGAACATGCTTTCAAATCTGGGCAGTTGGGAAAAGGCAGGAAGAGAAGAAGATGAAGCTGTTCATTGAGATACCTTTATTGCATTGTACCTCCTTCCACATCTCTTGCTTTGTCTGCTGAAATCAAGGTAACTTCTTATTAGCCTCTATTTGTATTTTTTTTGCCAGTCTGCCTCCATATTCTATCGTCCATCTGTTCTGTTATTTTTGTTGTTGCTATTATTATAGCTTTTCACCATGAGTGAGTAATAAAGAATATAATACCATTTATTCTTGAGAGTTTTTACTTTGACTCCTTGTCTTCTTAGCTTTTTGTAGAATATAAATTGATCCGCTATGGCTGCATCCTAACATTATACATACTATTCAATTTGGAGGTCTCCTTCACTAAATGCTGACACGTCTATTTCTATTCTTGTGGCAATGTTTGACCTTGTTAAATATTAAATTGTATTTTTGTTGGCCGTCATTAGAAAGCTCCATGTTTTGAGCTATAGAAATCCTTCATTGTGACTCTAATAATGCTAATGAATTATTGTTAGTATGCTGATTTTGGGATTGCAATCAAATAAAGAATTATGAGGTTCTATTACCTATGATTCCTTCCCATTGCAAACGTCTTCATGGAGCTCCCATTGTTCCTCTTTATCAAGTGACAATACCTACAAAGTTTCCATGTAAATTTGTTTCATGTTCATTAGAGCTTTATTTATAGTTTTGGTCAGCATCATGACCAAATGACATCGAGCGAATTGCACACGAGGACATGTGAATCATAAATTTCTATTTAAACAAAAATCTGAGTTAGACTTGGACAAAATTCCTTCAGTTTGTAAGTTGGAGATTAGAATTTTGTGGTTGTAGGCATCTACATTTTTTTTTGCTAATTCAGTTCTTTTCTCTTTGCTAGGTGTTCATCTAATGCAAAAGTTTGGTCTATTCTTTATGGCAAACCTAGTAGCAAAGCACCAAGGTTGTAGCAAGTACTCTGACGTGTTCTAAGTGCAACTTGGTTTAGATGAATAGCTCCTGCGTCCATAGGTTGGGAAGTTTTCTATTTCCATTTTGATGCTATGGCTACTTTGAAAACTTTGAGATCAAGGTGGCATGTTTTGCTTGCGAGAAGATAAATCAAAAGTTGGAGGAATCTACGTTGAAGGGAAATGTTGCTAGCTACATTTCTATAAACATACTCATGGTTAGTAATATCATGTAAATATTAGTTCAATAATCAATAAGTAAACTTTGAAATGTGATAGTTGTCTAAAAAGTCCGCTGTGAGAAGCATGAAAGGTGCAGTCTAAACTTTTTTACATTGGTAATTGGAGGCAGAGAGAAACAATGTTAAGACGGGATAAGGGTTTCTAACCACTGAATGACTTATTTAGGTGTTTGCATTAATGCTACATTTATATATATCTGCTAGATTCTTGATGAGTGTTCTCAAAGAGGTCGTGGCTGTCATGCTTGCATTATTTGCTCTAGGCTCTTTATTTCTCTGTGAAATTTGAAGAATGTCAGGCTAAAATTCCTAATACTATGGCTGGTTCCCTATCCAAAGCAACAAGTCTAGTCTTAAAGATTATGATGCTCACTTTGTAGATTTAAAAATTAAAACACTGTAATTCTTGGGCGTCTATGTTATTCGTTTACTTGAAAGCAGAGCAAGTGTGATGGTTTGGAGGTTGGGAATGGCAACAGGGCGAGAACGGGGAGCTACTCATCATCACCGTCCCCATTGGGATCCCATTCCCGCTGGGATTCTTAATCCCCGTCATTTTTTTTTTCCTGATGTCAGTTTCACTTTATTTTATTTCTTCATTCCAATATTTTTAAATAAAGTATGCACAATATACAATCTTATCAAAATAAAATAAATTTAAATACATTTTAAACATATCTTTAAAGATATTTAATACAAATTATTTGACTAATTAATGAGAAAAACACAAATACTTAATATTAATAATACATACAATCACCAATCATTGAGGACCCCGTTGGGTGTCCTCGTCCTCACTACGGGGGTTGAAAAATTTTCTATCCCCCACATTTGTGGTGAATTCTTGTGGGGATTGGGGAAATGGGTAAACTTGTCATCCCTGGGCTGGGATGCGCTACATTAAAAGTGTTTATACATATTATATATAACAGGCACCCTAACAAATTCTTTAAATCTCCTTATTCTCCAAATTACCCGGGTTGGTCCATCCAATGAGACTGACAATTCCAGATCACAAGTTCCTTGGTTACTTTGCATGAATTCCGTGGAGTTGGAAATTTTCAAGGGAACTGTATTGCTATTGCGGGAAAGGTGCCATGTGATAATAGGAATTCTTATTTCTTTTGGGACAGCCTCCAACTAACAGAGGCTGTCAACAGGGTTGTAGCACAATGATCATTTGCTGGTCCACCTTCTAACATTTATCCGTTCAACATACAGCCGCTTGTTTCCATATGGTCCCGCTTTGCTTAAACTAATATCTGTGGTTCATCTAATTTTTATCTTTTTGTGTCACGGGTTCAATAGAGGTAAAAGAAATACCCTGTGCAATAGAGTGTGTCGGTGGGAACTGGGAAAGTTATCGCCGAAATATTGACCACTGTGAAGCCCTGAGATGAAAACGAGCAAAGATAATCTTGAATTATCTTTAAGTTTCTTAATGTGCTTATCTTGATCTTGGGGTAGGCATCTGGCGCCAAATATCCAAGTGGATAAATGATAATCATTCCTACAGTAATGCCGTGTGATCAAACTCAGCCACATTCAGAACTAGGTACAGTTATTGGTTTAACAGACGACTTTTTTTTTTTCTTCGCAGGGTATATTTTAAAAGTTTAAAGAACAGCCAAGGGCTCTTTTGCCCTTTGACTTTTTTTTTGTCAAGCTAAACTTTTTGGATGGTTTAGCATGGTATATTTAAGTAGTTTTGTTGAAGCCACAGTACACATTATCAAGTAATTACCCCTTAATTTTATTGATAATAGTGGCATGATAAGAAACATTATATTCCTATTATCTGTGTTACGACAAGGTGTTGCTATCACAAAATAATCCTTTATTCCTTGTGTATCATTGTAAGTTGTCAAAACCTTGGATGTGTATAACTTGACAATTAATTGTTGAAACAGAAAAATAGGAGTGTAAATGGATCGGATCATTCCGATTTGAGATTCGATCCTATTTGATCAAATTTGGATCACGCCTGTTTGGATTTTTAGATCAGATCTGATTTGGATCATCCCTATCTGATCCAAAAAGATTTGATCCGATATATATTATATATTTATAAATATATATAATACATATTATTTATTTATTTATAAATATATTTTTTATATTATACTTTTATAAATTTTTTATATTATTTATTTATTTTTTATAAAAAACATGTATATATATGATGAAAATGATTAAAAAATACTTGTGTTTTTTGTTTTTATTTTATTTAAATTAATATATTTTATTTTTCTTTTAATAATTTATTAATTTTTAAATAAAATAAGTCGAATCAGATCAGATCCGAAGATTCAACTTACTGATAGGACTCAAATTCAAATAGAGTCGTATCATAACCATTTGGATATTCGGAACCGACATAAACAGTATCGGATGGATTCAAATATACCCTGATTTAAATCCGATCCATTTGCATACCTCCCTAGTCCAAAAACCCCATCTACAAGGGATTTGACTTCATGACTTCTTAACAAATCCCATCTATTTGGTATTAGACTCCCATTTGTATGGCTGGTGCTTGTATTTAGCCACCACAATTGAAGCTTTGATTCATTGCTCAAACTTATAAGTGAATCTGTTCGTGTACTTGGGTTCAAGTTTCTTCCATTGTCGCTTGTAAAAAATAAAAAAATAAAAAAATAAAAAACTAGCGATGCTGTGAAGTGTTGTGTTGAAACACTGAAAATTGTGGAAGGGAGAAATCCAATAAATGGTGGGGGTAAAGTTGCCCCCATAGCAAAATATGCACTTAGAATTTTACTCTGTATGGGAACTGGAGTATACTGGATTAAAAGTAACCACTTATGGGATGATACACCACTTCGGCTTAATCTGCAGGCCTACAGCAACTTTTATCCTGACTGTCCCAATATTAGGAGTTAAGTCCCACCCTTACTGTCACCCCATTTTTTCTTAAAAATAAAAATGGAGACGAATGGGTTAAGCCTCTGTCTTTATCAAAACAATAATAAAAGGAAATTTCTGTATAATTTCCTACGCTTTGTCACGTAATTGCCATATAGTCATAATCGTTCTTTTTTTCCCACTAACCAACCTACAAACGCAGATAATCCACACATAAACATGTATTTAGAAAATAATCTGCACTCAGGAAGTCCCATGATGCCCTCCTACTATTTAATGTTCCAAATTCCCCAGATTTAATTATTAGGCTTAGTTTGGGAGGAGTATAAATATAAATATGTAGAGTACAAAACCTTATATTTTGTATTATTTTCTATATATTTACATTCCCATTTGCTTATAAATTTCTCACTTACCTCGTACTTAATTGGATAACTTCACTTACTCATGTTCTTTTGATTCTCAAGTAAGTAATATAATGACCTTTTTATTCATAAAAAACTAATGTTAAAAAGAATAAACTTATTCCATTATGTTTTATAAATTTTTCCTCGAACGAAAAAGTTAATTACCTATTTTGGGAGATGAAAAAGTTTTACCTAAGTAAATGAATCTCTCTTTACCATGAGGTCCAATACTTAATCACAATGAGTATTATAAAGTTAGTCAATGGAAAAGAGATACCCGAGTGACCAACTTTCCCCCTCTCATTTACCGGTAAACGAACAAAGCCTGAATGGGAATTCAGATAGACTCAGTGGATGATTGGATGGAGGTTGCACACCGAATGGATCTTGAATTGGATATCGATACATTCAAATTTGATTTGTTTACATTTGAATTCAAATTGGATCATATCCATTAGATATCTAGTGGATTCAGATTGAATTCAGATCAGAATCGGATATTAAATAATATAAATAAATTAGATTAAAAAGAATCAAAACATTATATATTATTAATAAGGTGAACTAAAAATGACTTTAATATTATATTTTTATGAACAAAATGAATTAAAAATTACTTGTATAAACTTGAACCCATGATAATTTAGTGAAAATACAATATTGATACCAACTTCAATGATACATATAATATAATTTTTAAATATATATGAACATATAAATTTAAATCGAATCTGATCAGATTATATTGGATCGGATAGAGGTAGATTCATACTTGATCCAATTATAAATAGATCGAATTGGGATCACCCTTGGGTTGAATTTGAATTCGAATTTGGATACTCAGATACCGTTTGGAGCCAATGGATGGACGCTGACAGGCTCGCAAACTTCTTTGCTACGTTAAAGATGACTGGGTTTGTTTGTTTTGGGAAAGAAAGACGATTAAATCGGAAAGGGCCAAACTAACTGAGCCTAAGCCCAGTATAAACCTAACTTCGGGCCTTTATTTCAGCCCAGGATAGTCCTGTCCAATTGGGCCAATCCAAGAAGGTGACGAGGTGTGTGCTTCATGGCTGGTGGGTTGGTGGGCTATGATCACGCCAGCCTCATTAAGGCGGGACCTTGGATTTGAATGTAGTTCCAGTTCATCCATCAACCATCATGTGAGTTAGAGAGAGAGAGAGAGAGAGTACATGTCGTTAGTTCACTAGTCGCGTTTGGGACTTCGAGTGTCAAGTTGCTTAAAAACGTCTCCCTCTGGTTCAATCGCCGGCGGCAAAACCACGTTCTTTAGTTTTTCTCTCCATCCCACCTTAACACATTAGGGCTATTGGGGTCATCTTCGTAATTTAGTTCGAATTGTAGTCAGAAATCCATGGATCCTCCATTTTTCAGATCTACGATCTAGGGTTTACATTTCTTTTTTGCGTTTCATGGAGTTAATCTAATTACAATCCTTAGAGTTTAAGTTCTGAGATTACTAGAGAAAATGCAGAGCTCAGGGAGCTCGGCTTCGCAGCCGGAGGCTATATTGGAGTGGCTTCAGAAGGAAATGGGGTACCGGCCCCAGGGTCCGTACCTCTCGTCAAACAAGGCGTTCTTGCCATCAGTAGATACGCTCCGGAAAGTTTACCGGGGGAATATGGTCCCTGTATGGAATTTCTTGTTACAGAGAGTTAAATCAGAGAAAACTGTAGAGAAGATTCGTCGGAATATACTTGTTCATGGCAGTAACGATGGTGGCGGCAGTTCGGTGGATTCCCCGAAACCGAATGAGGAGGGGAGGAGTAAAGGTAGGAGGAAGGAGAAGGAGAAAACAAAATTGGGGATGGATAGAGGGCCGGGTTCGGAGAGTTCTTCGGAGACCAGAGAGATTGCATTAAGAGAGAGAGAATTGGCAGAGAAAGAGGTCGACAGATTGAGGCAGATTGTTCGGAGGCAGCGGAAAGATCTGAGGGCACGAATGCTGGAGGTTTCTAGGGAGGAAGCAGAACGGAAGCGGATGCTTGATGAGAGGTCCAATTACAGGTTAGGTTAGGTTCTTGGAGAATTCAACCAAAGATGATTTGTTTTTTTTTTTTTTTTTTTTTTTTCTTTAAAAAAAACTTCATGACTGTAATCTGTAGTGTAGCTTCACGAGAAGATCTTTTTGCATAGTTCCGTATATATATGCCTTAATTATGCTTCCATAAATTGTCTACACTTCTAAAATAAACTTATTGACTACTGATTAAGTTAATATAAGTAGAAAAGCTCAAACCATTTACCGTTAGCATGCATCGCATCAATCTTATGTGGTACTGTGGGGGAATCTGTTAAAGCTTTTTATTTGGCATGTATAAAAATATCTCTAAATTGCGTTTTTTTTCAATACATGCTCTCTCTCTGAGCAGGCATAAACAGGTGATGTTGGAGGCGTACGACCAACAGTGTGATGAATCAACTAAAATATTTGCGGAGTACCAGAAGCGTCTCCATTACTATGTTAACCAGGCTAGAGATGCTCAGAGGTCCAGTGCTAGCTCATCTGTTGATGTTGTTGATGATTTCCACGTGAACAGTGAAAAAGAAGCCGTCTATGCAACTGTTAAGGGCAATAAATCTTTGGATGATGTCATTCTCATTGAAACTACTCGAGAAAGAAATGTCAGGAAGGCATGTGAATCTCTGGCAGCTCATATGATTGAAAAGATACGCAACTCTTTCCCAGCTTATGAAGGAAGCGGTATTCATCTAAGTCCTCAGTTAGAAGTTGAGAAGTTGGGCATTGATTTTGATGGTGAATTACCAGATGATATTAAGACTGCCATTCTAAATTGCCTTGAGAACCCTCCTCAATTGCTTCAGACAATTACCACATATACTGTACGGATGAAAACATTGATTAGTAGAGAAACAGAGAAAATTGACATAAGGGCTGATGCAGAACTCTTAAGGTCCTTCCACATTTCTTTGTTCATCTATGTTTCTTTTTCCTGTTTGTTTGTTCTGTAGTCTTTTATTTTGGCTATACGAGATAGAAGTATCTAAATGAATTTTGTAGCTTAGTTTAGTTTCTATGTTTGGTATATGCTTGTGCATGTCTACAAGTTCTCACTTATGGTAATTCTTTTTGATTAAAACGAACCTAATAGGTGCTTGCTTGCCAATTTGATCATCCTTATTGGATCAGTGGACCTCTTATCCATGTAGAGGAAGATTTCTCACTTCCTGATTTTATATATCATGAATCTTTTCCTGATTTTGGGAAAAATCAGAAACATTAATGTGTACTTTGACTTTCATGCTTATTGCCACTAATCTATGATGCATATAATATGCTTGTGATGGTGGTTGATTCAGGCTGGATTTATGTTCTCAAGAGCTCAGGACAAGAGTTAAGCTATATCTTGGACATTGTCAAGTAGCATCAAATTCAAAAGACAAATTTTTTATGCATTTTTTAGATCAATTTTCTGTTTTTAGCTGTACGCTAATAAAGGGAATATACTCAATTACTGAAATTCCTACTTGTCAAGAAATCTCTACTTAGTATTTTTTTCATAGAATTAATTGAAGGAATTGGAGTAGGAAATGGTTCTTTAATGCTGGTTTGAGCCTATCTAATCTTTTCTCTATCAGTGGTTCAAGATTGAAGTCAATTATAGACATTTTTTTCCCTTTCCGACAAAGATAAAGATTGTATTGCCTGGCTCCCCCCCCCCAAATATATATATATATAATCACTTACTGTATGTAAAAAACTAACTCCATTCATTTTCCTATGCTCACTCCAATAAGCTGATATTAGTCATGTTTGGTGTAGCTTATTTTATGTTAATATTATCTTACTTTTTTTCCTGAGTTTCTCTTTATTTGATCATCTATTAATCATGTATTTTTTTAATTTCTCTAGATACAAATATGAGAACAACAGAGTGACGGACGCTGCTTCTCCTGATGTAAGCTCACCTTTACAATATCAATTATATGATCATGGGAAAATGGGAATTGACGTCTCCCTGAAAGGACCTCATAGTCAACTCCTTGAAAGACAGGTAAATCTTACCAGCACCACAAAATAAGGAACACACACACACTACATACATACATATTATTGGAAATGGTAACTTCATTAATGAACTTTCAATGTACTAATATCAACCCCTAGTATAGGGTGTTGAAACAAACACAAGTTGAATTGCAACACTACCCAAAACATATTCTCCCTAACCGTCCCTTGTTTTGCTAAGGTATCTGCTAACCCATTGGTTAATATTCTTGAGCACATAAAGCAATCACCAACCTCCTTTGTTAAGCTGAAAATTTCCTTATCAATTGTCTATGTATCGAGAATCACTAACAGCCTGACTGCATCCATCCAATTACCAATTTAGAATCCCCTTCTATTTCAATTTGGTGTAGCCCCAACTATTTGGCATATCTTAAGCGTTAAAGCAAAGCCGTGACCTCCACTCTCAAAGAATATCCCACACCTATTGGGCCTGAGTACATAGAAATTATTCTGCCTTCTCCATCTCTGAACACACCCCCTATACCTGATGGGCCTGGATTGCCTATAGAGCTTACATCAAAGTTCAAGTTCACCCTTTGTTGTGTTGGTGGGGACCGAAGTTCCTGTACTATTGGCTTAAAAGAAGATACCTATTGAATAATCTGCTGTAACCTGCTCCTTGTTCATTTTAGATTGTTCCTTATGCGCTTTGTCTCATCATTAAAAGTAAACTTTTGTTTTTTCATTTATTAGATGACCTGTTATATTTTGCATTAGCTTAAATTATCTCTTATCTTTCAGTGTTTTAGTTTTACTCCTCAGAATTCAAAATTTTAGATTCCTACATCAAGACCATGTTGACTTTTGCTCCTTATGTTCAATAGAAAAGTTCCTTCAAATTACTTTGAGGCATTTGATTGATATCTAATGGAGTAATTGCCTGCAGAAAGCGCATGTGCAACAGTTTGTGGCCACTGAAGATTCACTAAATAAAGCTGCTGAGGCACGGAACTTATGTCAGAAGCTTATAAAGCGTCTTCAAGGAAGCAATGGTGTAGTTTCCCAGCACTCACTTGCTGCTGGAGGCACCTCACAGAATGCTGGGAGACAGTTTGAGGTATACTTTGGTGGTAACTTGCCTATTCTGTAAAGTGTTTATTAAACCATGGTTTTAGTTTGATATCCTCTTGCCTACTTTTCTTGTCTGGTCAACTATGATGCTCCGTTTTCTAAAACTTGGCTCTATCCTGAATCATGACGTTTTTTTGTAAACTAAATTTAATTTGTTACATTTTCTTGTTTTCAGTTATTAATTATATACCATGGATACAATTTTCATGCCTATAAGCTCAGCAATTTGTAGACTAAATACTTATGCATTAATGATAAGAAAAACATAAACTTATGCTAATTAGTGGATTACATTTGGGAATCTTGGATCGGAGTTGGATTTAATCTGATTCCGTTTTGCATTTTTAAAATAAAAGAAAGAAATTAAAAAAATAAATTTATATAAGCTCAGCAATTTGTAGACTAAATACTTATGCATTAATGATAAAAAAACATAAACTTATGCTAATTAGTGGATTACATTTGGGAATCTTGGATCGGAGTTGGATTTAATCTGATTCCGTTTTGCATTTTTAAAATAAAAGAAAGAAATTAAAAAAATAAATTTATATATAGTATAATATATAAAAATATCAAGGAACATTATAAAAATAAATTGCCAGGTTGGTACCTCATTGGTTGATATAACTTATTTGAACATTAAAACAGCAGCTTTTAATGATTCTTATTTTCTCTGCACAGTTGGAGGTTTGGGCCAAGGAAAGAGAAGCAACTGGATTGAGGGCAAGCTTGAGTACATTGACATCTGAAGTGCAGCGCTTGAAAAAGTTGTGTGCAGAATGGAAAGAGGCTGAAGATTCACTTAGGAAGAAGTGGAAAAAAATCGAAGAGTTTGATGCACGCAGATCGGAACTGGAATATATCTATACTGCTTTGCTTAAGGCTAATACGGTAATGTATCTGTAGTTTTGATATTGTTCTTTTATGACAAATCGATACCAGGGATGCATGGGATAGTTCCAATTCTATCTAACTCATGATGTAGGTCATGCTGTATGAGTGAAGGGCACAATCTGGGTGGTCTATAGACTTATAAAGCCATTTGTACGAGACTAGATCTGCTGTGCAGGAGATGGTGTTAATACACCATTCGGATGACAATCCAGCTGCATGTTGGGAACATCTCCTCTATGTCTACACTGTCATTCTTGGGGGAGATGTTGTCAATTTGTGGCTGAATTGTCATGTGAATAGCATGTCCACTCAATTTATACTGACCCTGAAAAAGTGCTAAATATTGAAAGCCTAAAACCATTGCTTGATGCATGGATAAACTATGTCTTGAGTATTAGTCCTGATACTATCTTCCCCATGAAGCATAAGGTCATGCTGTATGAGTTAAAGCACTTTTTCATCAATCCAGGAGGTCTATCAGGCCAGTTACAGACCCCAAAGCAGTGCTAAAAGCCTAAAACTATTTCTTGATGTATGGGGGACTGAGCCTTGGGGAGTCCTCTCATTCAGCATTCTTTCAGATGTATCTTGTCCATCCATCCATCTAGAATCTATAACAAAGGGTTATTTGGCTTGATGGTTAGGATAATCTAAATTCATTTTTTCATCTTTCCTGATAAGGTCATGTACATGCTAAGTACCAAGTCTTTGTGTGAATATGCACTATTGAAGGACATTTACTAAGTCTTCTAATATTTGTAATTTATAATGCTTCTTGTCAATTATTTTCTGATCCAAGTTATGGGTGTTGATATTGTTCGATAAGTTGTGATGTTCTTTTTTTTTTTATTAGTATGCAAGACTTATTTGGCTGCTAGGACTTGATAAACAGATGTTTCTTTCTTCTCTCCATTCTATTGAATATTTCATCTTGAATTTAGTGCAAGAATTTGAGGATTGCAAACACTGCTTGGAACCTGTCTCGGAAGGGGGTTTAGGAGTGAGAAATTTTAGGCAGGTAAACACTGCTCTCCTTGGTAGATGGTTTTGGCTCTTTAATTCTAACCCCCGAGTTCTCTGGAGGCGGTTAATTGTGGAAAAGTTTGGAACTAGGAAGGATGAGATCCTGGGCCTGCACCCACTTCTGCTGGCTGCTCAGTTTGGAAGGGAATTGAGAAGGTCTATCCTTATTTTGTCCAAGGGATAAGGCTAGAATTAGGGGATGGCAACAGGATTAGGTTCTGGCAAGATACTTGGTGCAATGGTTCTCCCCTAATGGAGACTGTCCCTTCACTATTCCTTATAGCAGAAGACAGGGATGTGAGGGTGGCAGATCAGTTTGAGTGGCTTGGAAATTTATGAGTCTGGTGTCCAAAGTTTAGGAGGCATCTCAATGATTGGGAAGTCTCTGATCTGCTAGAGCTGCTCCAACGAATTCAAGGTTATCAACCAAATCCAAATTAACAAGATTCCAGAGTTTGGAAGTGGGCTTCGGATGGGATTTTCTCGGTGAAGTCCTTTTATTTAAAGCTGAGTGCTGGTTCGTCTCAGGTTTTTCCATGGAAAGAGATTTGGTTCCCTCACTTTCCTACTAAAGTCTCCTTCTTGATCTAGACAGCAGTCATGGTAAATGTCTCTCTAAGGAGCAGTTGATCAGGAGGGGTCTGGTGCTGCCCTCCATAAGATGTGTGATGTGTAGTGAGGAAGATGAATCTGTAATCACTGTGAGATTGCTTACTTGCTGTTCAGCCATTTTTCCTCCCTGTTAAATGTCAGGTGGTGCTGTCCCAAATCTCTAGCTGACCTGCTCCTCTCTTGGAAGTTGACGGGCTTAAGCAAAAGGGGTAAATGCTGTGGAGTATGATCCCTCATGTGGTGTGTTGGGTCCTGTGGAAAGAAAGAAATAGTAGGAGTTTTGAAGGTCAAAGGTGCTCCTTAGATGAGTTGGTGGTTCGGGCAATAGCTACTATACATTCCTGGCTGTCAGCCAAGGACTCTTTTAAGCATGTCCCCCACCAGCAGTATTTTGATCTGGGTTTTTTGTTTACTTGATTTAGCTGGGGGTCTCTTGTATGTATTCCGGAGAGACCTGTTTTTTGTTGGCTTTCTGTATAGTTTCTGGCTGTACATGGAGTTTTTGTGGATCGGCAACTGTTATATTTACAGTTATACTCATTAATACAATTACCTTACTTTTTCTCAAAAAAAAAAAAAAATTTGAGGCTTGCAAAATATACAGCTTAGCTTTGATTTCCTGTCTCAAATTTACTAATTTAATTGGAACAAAGTGGATAAGTAAATGGTCGTTATCATCATTGCATCATACTTGGCTTGATATATTAGCTGTACATAGAGGTGCAATGTGGGCCATGCTGGTCCAACACGGCCCACATTTCTGTGCTGCCCGCACTGTAGCTGGCTGTGCTGGCACGGCCTGTGTAGGTTGGTGGTGGGGCCCAGCACGAGCCTGGGCCCCATAGTTGTTGGGGCATGGGCTGGGCTGGGCTGGGCCGGCCTGTATTATTCCATTTTTCAGATTTTTCATTCTGTTTTTGCACTTCACTTAAAAAAATTTAATATTCAAAATTATAAAAAATAATGACTGATGATAGTAATTATTATATTAATATATATAAACATGAATAAATTGCTTTGGCCATGCCGTGCTGTGCTTGTGCTGGGCCATGGGACATGGGTCAAAATCCCTCAGCCCAGCCTGGCCTAGGGGGTCGTGCCATGCTTAGCAAGGCCCATCAACTGCCTAGATGTGCTATTCTACCTTGGAGATCCCTATTGCATTAACCTTGATTTTGTTGTGGCTTCTTGGTGCAAACTGCATAGGCTGGGATAAATGTAGCTCTTCTCTGCCAATCTAATATCCTAATATGAGGATTTTATATCATTAATAGATCATAGGAATTTGAATATTAACTGAGGAGTGTTTTTACGTTTGCTAGATGTTGCGCCATATGGGTGTGTTCTTAAAATGGTATATTTTCCTGAGCACCAACTTTCTTTCGTTTCTTTAATAACATAGGAAGACCTTTTCTCTTCATATTTGGTTTTGTTGTTATGAGGCAAAATTTTAGTGGGATGCTGATACTGAAAGTATTAGACCTTCTATCCTTACCCAATAATCATTATATACTTTAGAGGTGTACTGCATGGTTTTATGTTGATTTATAATTTTTATATTTTACATCTGCTTTGTTTGTTTCTTGCATGTCTCTTTTTACTGGCATATCTTATATGATTTTCTTCCAGCATTACAAATGATTTCTTATTTTATTTTATTTTACTCCTGTAGGATTCTGCTACATTCTGGGAGAAGCAGCCATTAGCTGCTAGAGAATATGCATCAAGTACCATTATTCCAGCATGCACAGTTGTTGCAGAGATATCAAATAAAGCAAAGGACCTTATTGAAAAGGAGCTTTCTGCCTTTTATCGAAGTCCTGATAATAGCCTTTACATGTTGCCAGCAACACCACAGGTCTGTAAGATTTTAACTAATTTTATGACTACATGTTATATTAACGGGCCACTATATCTGGGCACCATTACCAAATTTTCTGTATTGTGAGGCCTTGTTTTCCATCAATTAGGAAAAATGGCCAATTTTATCATATTCACATAATTGTTGGTCCTTGCAAAATGTTAAAAAAATGGAAGACTATCCTAGCTAAAATATGTAAAATAGATCTTTAATAGATTGTTCAGGTTGATTTCTGGACAGATGATTTCCAATTTTAGACCCATTTGATATTGCCTATTCTCTTATAGTTGCCATTAAACATCTGGAGACTAGTATGATATCTAAACTATTTTCAATAGTTACCTGTGCACCTTATTGTTTATGAACAATGTTCTTGTAGGGTTACAACCTTATTTTGATACCTATTGAAGTTTGTAGAAAGATCAAAATTTCAGTGTCATTATATGCATCACTCTAGGAAGAAGGGGAGATATTGGGATATAATATCCCAGTTGTTGGGGGAGAATAAGAGCACAATGGAATCCTCACAAATCTTTTCCTTTGATTGATTCTGACTGCATTCTACCCAGTAAACTACACATGCATTGCTTATTACAAATACAAACCGGTTTGGGACTCGGAATTGAACCTCATTGCTGACCTGCTAAAAATCCTAGAGGAGGTGGATATTGACCCCCTTAGGAGGGATAGTAGGATTTGAGCTCCTCCTTCAGGTGTCTTCTCATGTTCCTCTTTCTTCAAAGAACTAGCTCATTCCCCACCTGTCTTTGGAATCCCTTTTCCAGTTTTGGAAATCTGGGGTAGACCAATTCCTCCCAAAATTAGTGCCTTTTGTTGGGAAGTTTTCCTTGATAAGTGTAACACTTGTGACTTACTCCAAAGAAAAAGGCCTAATTGGTGTTTATCCCCACACTGGTGCATCCTTTGTAAGAAGAATGGTGAGGCTTGTTATCACTTATTGGTTTCTTGCCCATTTGTTTCAGAAATCTGGTGTTGGTTTTTCTATCTTTTTGGTTGCAGGTGGACCCCCCCCTCTCAAATGTGCTGAAGAAGAGAGGGAAAATTCTGTGGAGGTGTGTAAGAGCAGCTGTATGTTGGACAGTCAGGGAGGAAAGGAACCAACGGACCTTTTCATTGGAAAGAAAGAAATAAGGGTGTAATCATTGAACTAATTTCTATAAGGGTGATTCATTGGGTTAAGACTGCAAATTTTTGAAAACTATTCAGAAGTAGATATCATCGGGAAGTGGAGAGAAGTGGCTTGGTCAGCTCCAAGGAAGAATGTGTATCTTACCCAGTTTGGTCCCCTCCAGCTTCAGGTTCACTAAACTAAACTTTGATGGTAGTAGCGAAGGAAATCCAGGCCTGTCGGGTATAGGGGGAGCTTTCAGGGATGATGAAGGTTGAATTGTCGCATTGTATTCTGGTTCTATTGGATGGGGGGGGGGGGACTCTCTTAGAGCTGAAATATTGGCTGTTTTGGAAGGGTTAAAAAGAGCTCAAGAGTTAAATATCAGAAAACTGATAGTGGAAGGTGATTCTAAGTTGGCTATAAACTGGTTAATGAAGGATGATTCTAGTTTGTGGAAGTTTCTAAATGAAAAGAAGAAAGTTAGACATCTCATACAAAATATGGAAGTCAAGTTTCAATGGACTAAGAGGTGCGCCAAATCCTTGGCAGATTCATTGGCCAAACAAGGGGTGGGAAGAGTTAATTTTTTCTAGGCAATATTGTAATCTGAACTGCTTTTTTTGATAAATGAGAGTAATTTTATTAAAACAAATATCAGAAATACAAACAGCCTAGGAAAAGGCACGAGATGTTACCTCCCCTGAGGACTGAATCATACACTAAACATGCCCAAACCTGAGACACAAATTACAAAGTAGCCCAAAACAGATCTCCCTTTGACACCCTTTGCTTGTTCAGAGAATCAGCCATTGCATTTGCAGATCTGCTGACCCACTGAAGCCTAACAGTCATATTTGTTGTCATCCATTTAACTTTCTTTAACAGATCCCTGTAGCCCCAACAAACTGTGTCTGGGCTATTCAGCCAGCCCACTACTACCTTGGAATCCCCTTCTACTAACAAATTGTTCACTCCTATTTGACTAGCCATCTGTATACCTTGTACCACTGCTAGTAGCTCTGCCCTTACAGAATCACCTTCACCCACTGGTCCTGAGAAAAGAGACAACATATTGCTGTCTTTATCTCTCAGAATCCCACCAATTCCGGATGGCCCTGGGTTACCTTGGCAGCTGCCATCAAAATTCAATTTTACCACTCCATCCGGTGGGGGTTCCATTCAACTTGTAATCTGTTCTTGGTGGAGACTGTAGAAGCCACTGCTTCCCAATTTCTCCTTAAGTCATCAAAGGAGAAATCTGCCAACAATTGTGAAGATTTCAGCCATGAAATTGTCTTTGCCAATATGCATTCCTTGACTTCTGCAAGACTTATTTCCTTTTCTTGAAATATTCTAGCATTTCTCTCCTCCCATAAAATCCACAAGGTGGCGGCTCTGATTTACACATTAGCTTCCCTCTTTTTGTCAATCTCCTAAGAGCAGCCGGAGTGAACAGCAGCTTTACTTCAGAGGGCAAGTTCCACCTGCACCCAAAAAAAGAAACAACCTAGTTCCAAATATTGGCAGCAAAGGAGCACGATATCAACAAATTTCTTGGGAGGGTTAAGAGTTTTTACCCCTCCTTTTGTATCTTTCTTTATTAATATCTATTAATAAATGTCTTTGTTATCTATCAAAAAAAAAACCCGGTTTGGGGGAAAATATAGATGCCTATTGCACTGGGGAAGGACATAATTTATTGTCATCCAAGCTAGCTTTGCTAGATCCAATAACTGTGTAACATAAATTCTTAAATGGTATGCACTAAAACAACCAAAAAATGAAAAAAAAAACAGCCCAATGTAGTTTCCTGTTTTACTTTACATTAGCAGACTAATCACATGAATAGTGGTATTGTTATAAACGATATCATATGGCATATGCTAGTTAAATAGTTAATTTAGAAGTAAGTAGTCTATAAGCATAACATGACATGATTTGGAGGAACCTAGGAGTAGCTCCAAGAGGTGATAAAATGTGAGAAAGTAGATTGAGATGGTTTAAACTAGAAGAGCTAGGGGCTAGAAGAGCACCTGTTAGAAATAGTGATCTGTTACAAGTTGAAGGGACCATAAGAGCTAGGGGCAGACCGACAAGGAGTTGGGTGGAAGTAATATGAAATGATTTAAGCACCCATAGTTTAACAATGGATATGACACTGGATGCAATGGAATGGCAAAACAGGATTCATGTAGCTGACCCCATATAGTTCGGGACAAGGATGATGATGATGAGTCTATAAGTACATATACGTAATAATGTATGCCTTGTTATCTTTGATATATATCCATATAATTGATTAGGTATTTTTATTTGTCTTATACTTTTACAGCAGATCATATACAAGAATAAAAACACCTATGGAAATTTGGGACTATGGTATTTTTTTATTTGTTTGTTCTTTGGCATCAAAATTCTGAAATAGTGTCATGTTCATTTGTTTATTCTATTTCCTAAATAATGGCATTTGTGAGAATTCTTTGCCCAATAAAAGAAAGTTTCATGTGGAGCATTGTTCAAATGGATTTTTATATATTGGCCCTGAATAATAGCATTGTATTTATTTCATGTCATATTCTCTTGATACATTTGTGAGCTTTTACTATGCCTACATGCTGCACTAGCACTTAACATTTCTACCCTTATCAATCAGGCACTTCTGGAGTCTATGGGTGCTAATGGGTCAACGGGACCAGAAGCAGTTGCTTCTGCAGAGAAGAGTGCTGCTTTATCAACTGCAAGAGCTGGTGCAAGAGATCCATCAGCAATTCCATCCATATGTCGTGTTTCTGCTGCCCTGCAATACCACGCTGGTAAGTTCCTGCATCCACTTAGAAGAATGTCTCAAGTGATGCTATTAGTAACAACTTAAAAGAATTTATCAACAGTGATATAATTATGTGTTTATATTTGCATGTGATAATGTCATCATCTTGGGTTTTGGCTTTTGCTGGTTTTGTTGAGGTTTCTTGTTTGGGAGTTGGTTTGCTTTTTCTTTTCTCTCTTGAGTGACTTCTGGTCACTTTTACCAAAAAAATGTCATCATGCTACCTCCACTGCAAGCTAATGGAAGTCTCACTTCATTCTCAGGGAAATTTAATTTGTCTGCATCTAAGCAGAAATTATCTATGGTGATGTCTGTCCCATGGGTTTCCCATGAAACTAGGTTAGCATTGGCAGTACTTAATATGGTACTTTATGCAATACTTGCATCTATAGAGATGAAATTCTAGGATTTTTAGCTCAACTTGAATCAATTCACCAAGCTGAGAGGCTGTTCTCAGCCTTTGCTCTTTCCTGGGAGCTTCTTTGTATGGTTCTGATTTCAGTCAATAAATTTACCTTACCTTTTTCAAAAAAAAAAAAAAACTTGTATCAATTCACCACTAATATTTTGGTTGTTTCAGTATGCTTGTTAAAAGCGTCCAATATAGAAAAGCCTGTTGAAGAACCTAAAATCCATTAGGTGACCTTTAGCAATGTCAGAATTGTCAATATGTTGCAAGAGTGCCGGGTTTCTAGCACATGTCATCTAAATATCCGTCATGGATAAATGTCCTGTTGGATTTTTTATTGGAATTAATAGGACTTATTATAAAAGACAAAGGATATTACAGTCATGAAGTCTTCCATGGTTAAACCTAAAAACAGAAGCCTCAACAAAGGAAAACCTGTAAAAATCTGTAGTGGCTGAAGCTGAAGTTGGGTTGATTACCATGCCTTCAAATATTTTATCCACTAAAAGACAAAGCAATAAGTCATTTAATTCAACCGCTTCAGCCATTATCAAGCAGGTCCCTTTTTTTTTATGGGTAACCATTATCAAGCATGCCCTAAGCCAAAGTTTATTGGGCATATATTGAACCCAAGGAGTAAAAAAATAAACAATCTGGCCATAAGAATATATCCTCTTCACAGAGTGACCAGCTTACTGAACTTTTCAGTTGACACCTACTGAAAAGTGACCTACTGAAAAGTTGTGACGTTGAAGTTTGTTCAATCTAGAAGTGGAAGATGTGGCATCTACTTTTAATATTTTGTTACTATGCTTGGGGTGGGGGTGTGATGCATTTCTCTGTGTGGAATTCACTTCACTTTCATTTAACTACACAAATAGTATATAACCTGTTAAATTGCCAGTGTTTGCATGAATTCACTGTTAAGTTGCTTTCTTTTAGGTATATGATTTGATTTTCTTAATCACCTTTTCTCTTCAGTATTTACCTAATGTATTTCCACTGAGTACTTACTAATAATGTATTATACCCAGGTTTGGAAGGTTCAGATGCTGGATTAGCATCAGTATTGGAGTCTCTAGAGTTCTGTTTGAAACTCAGGGGTTCTGAGGCTAGTGTGTTGGAGGACTTGTCAGAAGCAATTAATTTGGTACATATACGTAGAGATCTTGTCCAAAGTGGTCGTTCCTTGTTAAACCATGCATACCATGCACAGCAAGAATATGAAAGGTAAAGCTACAGCATGATCCTTTGTTGATGTATGCTGGGGAGTGGGGACGTGAATCGGGTTTCTTTATTATGTTTCTCATATTGTAAGAATATATATTTCTTGTTCTACCAATTGGGGATGCAAAGGATCAAATCAAATTTGGATGGGAGTATATACAAATCTGGTCCAATAAGAATCCAGGAGATTTGTTTTCGATTCTTTTATTTATGTAGATACCTGATTCAATTGGAAATTCAATAAATCTGCATAAGACTAACAAAAGTCTACAAAAGTGAACATGAATATGAAAATATATATTGTAATAAGAAAAAAATTATCTAAATCCCATACTGCACTTAATCTTATAGAACTTAAAATTAAAATCTAAGAAGGGCTCTTTTATATATGTATACTAATCAAATCAGATCAGATCAAGCAATATCTGAATCCAATCCAATTATGGCTAAATATGTTAGACAGTGGAATATCTGAATCTGACATAAATGAATTGGTCCAAATTTAGTTTTAATTAAATCTGATCCATCTGCAGCCCTGCAACCATTTGCTGAATATTCTGTGACAGAACTGGTAAGTAGACCTTTTGTAAAGAAGCATGGGAATTATTGATCAAAAAAAAAAAAAGAAGCATGAGAATTTCAAAAATAGCAATGCATATAATAAAATCTTCAATAAAACTGTTAAAAAGAATACATCTATTTAAGTCTTGTTAGAGAAGGAAAGGAACTTTTTCATTTTATGGCTTCTTTTTTACCATGAGTGTGGTTTTATCTGATTTTTCTTTGTCATGCAGAACAACAAATTATTGTTTGAATTTGGCTGGGGAACAAGAGAAGATTGTTATGGAGAAATGGTTGCCAGAACTTAAGACTGCAGTTTTGAATGCGCAGAAATGCTTGGAGGATTGTGAACGGGTTAGAGGTTTGGTAAGTAATCACACTACTAAAAACCAGTATGCTCATCACGGTTCTCCTGTCTGTGGATATTGTTTCACTTGTTCAAGTATGCTATGTTTTTAGTATTAATTCTATAGCTCTTATATCTTTCGTAAATATAAAAAGGGTAGCCCAATGCACGAGGATCCCGCCAATATCTTTCATAAATATATTGGTTCACTTGTCAAGGAAAATAAGTCAGTATGTAACAAAATATGCATGGGAACATTGAACTTCTTTTTTTTTTGTCTGTGTATGGGGTGGGGGATGTTAAAGCCAAATAGCCAGATTTGCACTTCTGTGAAATTTTATTTATTATATTAAGCATTATGGGTATTTTGATAATCTTACAGATTGTCTGTAGGGTCTGCTATTGTATTTGATCTGTATAGTCATAGTTAAATGTTCATATTTTCAATTGATTGTTTAGGTAGTTACTAACATAGATGTATCCACAGCAAGTGATTTTATTTTTGTCTAAGCTTCTATCGCCATTCATCCCGCCAAAATTCTATCTAAAGTCATAGTTTTCAAAAATTTTGGAGTTTCTTATAAAGGAAAATTTTCATTCTTTAATGGAATTTAATTTCACCATAATTTTATGGAGTGTATGTGCTCGTACAACTCTTCACCTTAGAGACTTGACAATGTGTACAATTTTATGGAGTGTATGTTTTCATTTAAAAATTTTATCCCTGTACTTTGTGTACAATTTGTATTGTTTTAATATGTTCATTGTCCTGCAAATATTCACTTAGAACCTTTTCCAACCCCAACAAATTTCTATCTTTGGTTGTAAAAGCATCTATAAACCCTTCTTAGACTATTGTTTACCCTCCTAAATTCATCTTCGGGCCATGTTGGTCTTTACAACAATTTGGTATTAGAGCCGTTGACCAGTAAAATAAAATTAAAAAAATTATGCAAGAAATAAGAATCCATTAAACACAGAAGTAGTGTAAGAAAGGGGGAAATGTGGAAGAGAGAAGAGTGAAGAAATTTTCTGGTTCCTCAGTCATATATACCTCTTCTAACCTTCATTTATCTGCAGTAAAAAAAATAGTGAACAAGGAAACAAAAGTGGAAAAGGGGATACAACTGCACCTTCACTATGATGCTATACAGTTGTAATCAGGGTTGTAATATGAACATTAGGTATTTTCCTTTTATCATTGATGTAACCATTGGTATCATGATATCATTGGTGAGGACAAGTAGGCTGCACTGTGCCTGTAGGTTAGATTGGTTATTCCCTTAATGGATTTGGTCTCTAAATTATTGCTTCAGATTTTTTGAAGTGATATGACTGTTCTTTAGAGAAATATGCAATATGAATTGCTTATTTGGTTAATGGAGCTTGGAAGGGTTTAAGTTTCTGAAGTTAGGTATATGACCAAAGCAGTTTGCTGTTCAAATAACGAAGTTATTAGTCAGCTGTTTTGTGGCTCATTGACCAGCTCTATACCCTTTCATGGAACTTCTGATACATTTACTATTTCTAAGTTGGCCTTTTACGGAAATCCTTTTGCAGGTAGTGGAGTGGTGGGAGCAACCTGCTGCGACAGTTGTTGATTGGGTAACTGTTGACGGTCAAAATGTAGCTGCTTGGCTCAATCACGTGAAGCAGCTTCAAATGGCATTTTATAACAACTAGGCGCTCACGAACGGAAGCTTTATGGGAGCACATTTTTCTTTTGGTTTCTTTGATTCCTTTCCCTATTCTTGTATAAAAATGATTCTTCCTTGGGAAGGGAAGCCATTTGTACTATAGGGCGTTTCTGTATTCTGTAATAGGCTTGGCCATCAGTTTCATATAAATAATTATTATCTATGGGTCTTGATCAACGCAGTTCAGAGATGGAATCCTGTTGAAATGTAGAGAAACTGTTTGAAGATTGATTCTTTGTTGTGTGCCTCATTTGAATAGAAGGGATAGATGCCTGTGTGACGACAAAAGAATTTATGTTAGTAATGAACAATAGAACAAAAGTTCGATTTATTGGAATTTTATTTCTATGTTTCCATGTAATCGTGCGTTGACAGCACCAGGGGTCCTCTTTGCTGAAACAGCAGACTTGTGTTGCCTGTTGAGCAATGAGAAAGTGAAAGGACGGCCAATCGGGCATTCCTAAGGCCAATCGGGCATTCCTACGGCCAATCGGCCAATCTCTCTATCCATTTTGTTTTCCCCTGCCAAGGATCGACCAGCTCGTCGATGCAACAAGAAGACATGAGCTCCTAAGCTTCATGGACGCCTTCTCAGCTACAACCAGATCCGGATGGACTCGGATGACCAAGAGCGAACAACCTTTATCATTGACCGATGCCTGTACTGCTACAAGGTAATGCCCTTTGGCCTAAAAAACGGCCGCCACCTATCAGCGGCTGGTGAACGAGTTATTCAAAGAACAACTCGGTAGGAACGTTGAGGCATATGTCAACCATATGTTCGTGAAGAGCAAAAAGGCCAAACACCACATTGTCGACCTCCACGAAGTCTTCGACACACTTAGAAAGTACAAGATGAGGTTAAACCCAACCAAGTGCGCCTTTGGGGTTGGCTCCAGCAAGTTTCTGGGGTTTATGGTAATACAGAGAGGAATCAAAGCAAATCCGGAGAAGATAAAAGCCATTATTGACATGCCATCCCCTTGGACCCACAAAGAAGTGCAACAACTCACTGGGAGAATAGCTGCCCTTGGCAGGTTTATGTCCAAGTCCGCGGACCGGTGCCTCCACTTTTTCAAAGCCCTCAAACGGCCAAAGGACTTCCATTGGACATAAAAGTGTGAGCAATCTTTCCAGGAACTAAAGCAATACCTGAGCTCGCCGCCCCTCTTGACTAAGCCGAGCCCAGGAGATGAGCTATTGCTCTACCTCTTGGCCGGGGATCAAGTCGTCAGCTCAGTATTGGTCAAAGAAGAGGACCGGGTACAGAGGTCGATCTACTACACCAGCATGGTCCTCAGCGACGCAGAGACCCGACACTCCAATCTCGAAAAGTTGGCTTTGGCCCTCGTCACCGTAGCCAGAAAACTCAAACCCTACTTCCAGGCCCACAACGTTTGAGTACTCACCAGCTAGCCCCTAAAGCAAGTGCTACAGAGACCGGAAGTGTCGGGCTGCCTAGTCAAGTGGAGCATGGACTGAGTGAATTCGACATCGAGTACGTACCCCGACCGACGATCAAAGCCCAGGCCTTGGTAGATTTCATCACAGAATATACATTTTCCACGGAGGAACCGGCCCCACTGCCTCCAGCATGGACCCTCCATGTTGATGGCTTGCCAAACCAGCAAATCAGCGGCGCCGACCTTATCCTCCTTGGCCCGGATGACATAGTGTTGGAACACACCCTCAGGTTTGAGTTTAAAGCGTCCAACAATGAGGTAGAGTATGAGGCCCCGATTGCAGGGCTCCGCTTTGCTTTAGACCTCGGGGTACGACGAATTGAGGCCTTCAGCGACTCTCAGCTAGTGGTCAACCAAATCCACGGTCAGTTCGAGGCTCGGACTCCCTCTATGGCGAGCTACATACAGAAGGTGCAGGAGCTCATTTAGCAACTCGAGCACTTCAACATCCAGCAGATCCTTCGAGCTGAGAACGCTCGAGCTGACACCCTTTCAAAGCTCACCAGCTCGTCGTAGACCGACCTTGATTCAACTGTCCGGTTAGACACGCTAGCCCAGCCGAGCATCGCACGATCAACCATCCTCATCCTTCCAATGCAACATGGCTCATCTTGGATGTATCCCATAATCGAGTATCTTCGAGAGGGCACCTCCCCGGAGGATCGAGTAGAAGCGGAAAGACTTCAACAAAGAGCAGCCAAGTATTGCCTGATACAGGGTCAACATTACCGCCGTTCCCACACGCTTCCCTACTTGAAGTGCCTCCCCCAGCCGAGGCAGAATACGTCCTTAGGGAAATACATGAGGGCATTTGCGGAGATCACCCCGGCGTGCGCACACTAGCCCATAAGGCACTCCAACAGGGGTATTTTTGGCCAATGATGAAGCAGGATGTTGCCCAGTTAGTTTGGAAGTGCGATAGTTGCCAACGTCACTCCAATCTACTTCACCAGCCTTCGGCCCCTATGAGACCGATTGCCAGCCCATGGCCATTTGCCCAATGGGGAATGGACATCCTCTGCCCCTTCCCCACCGCGATTGCGTAGAAGAAGTTCCTTTTCATAGCAGTGGACTACTTCACGAAGCGGGTAGAAGCTGAAGCCCTTCCACGCATTACCGCCCACAATGCCCGAAACTTCCTTTGGCAAGGAATCATTTGCCACTTCGGTATCCTGCGCGTGCTCACCACAGACAACAGAATACAGTTCACTGACAAGAAGTTCGAGGCCCTCTATGCCGACCTAAGGATCAATCACTGGACCACCGCAGTACACCGACCTCAGAGCAACGGGTAGACCGAGGTAACCAACCGCATCCTACTACATGGCCTAAAAACGTGCCTAGATCAGGCCAAGGGAAGGTGCGTTGAGGAGCTGCCGAGCATTCTCTTCGCTTACAGGACGACCCCGCGAACCGTCACTGGAGAGACCCCTTTCAGTCTGACCTATGGGGCCGAGGGCATGATCCCCGTGGAGATAGGTTCCCCAACCCTTCGGACCGAGCTCTATGGCGAGGGACAAAATGACGAAGATGTACGTGCAGAGTTGGACCTAGTAGAAGAAGCTCAGGACCGAGCACATGTGAATATGGTTGCACAACAGTAGAAGATGGCACGACAATACGATTCTAAGGTAAGAATACGTGAATTCAAGATGAGTGACTTCGTTCTGCGCAAAGTCATAGTCCCCACACCAGGAGAAGGAATGCTTAGACCAAACTGGGAAGGGTCGTATAGGGTGACCAGAGTCCTCGGACCCGGTAGTCATAGACTTGAAGACCTCGAAGGTCGGCCAATACCGAGGAGTTGGAACTTGGGAAACCTCAAGATGTACTACCAATAGAGCCACAAGCAATAAAAGTCTCCTTTTAAGCTACTTCTTCGACCTAGAGGTGCGCCCATGACCACCGCACACACTACACACGCACATGCTAAGTCGCACTGCCAACTAAGCTGACTCCGTCGATCCCTAAACGGTTGAGCCCATAACGCCTAGCTCGGCAACACATTGCCAAGCAAGCTACCCGACTCAGCTGCCAACGGCTGAGCCTAACCGTGGAGGAAGAACGCCCCCGCCCACCAAGGCTTGAGGGTGGTCGAGGAACTCCGCACTACCGCCAGCTTAACGATTGAGCTTGTTGGGAAACAGCTAGCCCTAGAAGGGCCCCAAAGGCTCCCGAGACCAGAAACTGAGTGTCCCATGGCTGAGAGCTTGGGAACCGAAAGATCTCGGACAACGACACCTCGGTCAGCACAAGACTGGGTACGTTGGGGCATAGCCCGGCCGGATATAACTTGGTCAATACAAGATTGGGGTCGGCAAGGCATAGCCCGACCGACTACACCTCGACCAACGACACCTCAATCAGCACAAGGTTGGGAATGCCATGGAATAGGAGATTCCTATACACCATACAAACCTCGTAGATATCACAAGAATTTGATAAATGTGAAATTCGACGATGAACATTTGCTTTTTTTTTTTTTTTTTTTTTTTTTGCGGTGAAGGTCTATCTCTTAAAAGAAAGATGCCCTTACAAACCTACATGATGCTTGATTGATTGTTTGAAATCTCCAAATCACATTTTCATCCTTCATATTTACTTGTACTGCATAATTTCTTTGTACATGAGAATAAAGGGGGGAAACGCAAGTATGCCGGCAGAGACCGTCACTGCCTTCCCCCCACACAAAAGCAAAACTGCAAGCAAAGAATGAATTGCCTGAGAATTAGAGTATGTCTGTGGCTGCTGCGTAAAATCTTGAGCTGAGGGCCTTTTTATTTCTTGGATTCAGTTTAGGAAGAGTATAAATACAAATATATAGAGTACAAATACATAGAAAATAATAAAGTTTTACACTCTACATATTTGCATTTATATTCCTTCCAAACTAAGCCTTGATGATTATTGGAGGTATTTGCATTTGCGGTAGATTTGGAAGCCAAGGGCTCAGAGCCTGCGGAGCAGCATTTTCGTTAATTAAGCTTCTTTTTGTTAAGAAAATGACCTCGCAACCACTTGCCCTTCTTATAGTATGTAGGTGCCGAGATTCATGAAGATAAGGCTTCTTAACCTGTATCAATTTATTTACGAGTTCAGCCTTAGCACCTGACTATCTTCGCCTCAGAATAATTTGATAATTTAACGTCTTCTGTTTTGTGATTTAACTGTCGAGGGGTTATTTATCGCAATATAAAAATTCAGGGGAGTCTTTGCCGAAAAATAAAACGTGAAGGGGTTCTTTTAATTTAATGCGTTCCACAGTTCCACCATTATCATGAGAGATATCACAATGTATGATAGGATGTGCGTGTGAGACGCCTGTGAAGCGCAGCAGATCCGGTCTCATCAAAAGTATTATGAGTAGGCAAGTAGTAGTAACTAGGAAAAAGAACCCTTTGCTGTATAAAATAAAGCTTTCTGCTCTGATTGGTATTCCGTGTCTCGTAAAGCGGGAAAAGTGGAAAGAAAAAGAACATCGGTAATTTGGTATTGCCTTATTGGTTGAGGGGTACACCCCATAGGCCCATCCATACTCAACTCAACAGATCTCCATCTTCTTGCTTTTTCTTCGATGGAAAGCAACCCTGATTCCTTAGCGATCAAGTATCGAATCCCTCGGGTCCCACTCCTATAGAACACATCCCTCGGGTCCCACTTCATTGTATATTCATCGAGGTGTCGAAGGCTCGGGTCTGGTCTCACCGTCTCAGAACTCAGAAGCAAGAGAGTAGAGTTGGCATGGGTAGTTCAGAGAGCAAAGAAGATGTCAGCGGTGGTGCTGGTAACCAAACCGACACCAATGCGGAAGAGAGGAAGACTAACAACACCACCCACGCTGCTCTGGCAGTCGCAGTAGGAGCAGCGG